CCAGGAAAAGTCACTGATGGCTATCTTCATCTTCCTCCTGCACTAAAACCACTAAAGTCGTCTTCTTCAGTGTCTTCAGGAGCTGAACAGCCTCAGAATCACTTCATCACTTCCTCAGTCTCTCTGTCGTCGTCGCTCTCAGCCTCACTTTGGTCTCCAGGTGAATTCATATCAACCCATAAATTAGCTGCATCGTTGTTTAAGCTGTGGAGTGGAAGAAGTAGCAGCTTCTGGTCCGGACATGTCGGTAGTTTGTTCACAGTCAGAGGTTTCTGGTCGCGTCGCCTTTAAACTCTGTGACTGGGGTCAAACGTTCTGGGTTTCCTTCAGCAGGCTTCTCACCAGTTTGATGAGTTCTGGCCCGTTCCTCCTGACAAAGGAGGAAGCGCAAAAAGTCTGGTGACCCTTTGACCTCTCGTTTAGCGCCACCAGCTGGTGAAAGCTTCCCTTCAACCAATATGTTCCTTTATTTTAGGGAAAACTAATGAGCCTGAGCTGTAGGTTCATGTGGACTGCATGATGATTGTCTGTAGATGCTGTTGTTGGGAAGCTCGTCCCTCTGCAGCACTAAAATTAAATATCCAGTCTGGAAGAGCAGTCACAGGGATTCATAATAACACAGACGCTGTCACATGCAGCTGTGAAGTGGCACAAGGCTTTTATATCCACGTAAATATAGCCGTGTCTCTGTGTAGACTGAGCGTTACACAATAGATCCAAATAAACACATCGACATACAAACTGCTGCTGAGCCTCCTGAATCTGATTTCTTCTTCTCTGTTCTCCTCTGACATCCATCTCCGTCTGGATCTGTGTCCTGTCACTTATTTCTGTCCTCGATTCTTCAGCGGCGTTTCCCGTCCTCATTCTTTCTCTGGTTATCTTAAACACAGCAGAATCTTCCCCTCCATCTCCTCCCTTTTCATCTCTTTTATTCTGTTTAGTCTCATCGCTTCATCTGTGTTTTCTGTCTCTTCCTTTCCTCCGGCCCTCCACCTCTTCTCCTCTCTCTGCTCTGTGCTCCACATTTTACTCTAATTTGGACTGACGTGAACCTCGACACAAATATTCATGCGCTTGGCACTAATTGGTTTAATGAGAGCGTCAGACATTTTAACATCAGTTGTTGAACCTTATCCCATGGCCTTTAAATCTATTGAACGTATTTTTATCACTTTTGCTTTTTGCACTTCCCAACGTATATCCCACATAATGAACGACCACGAGCTGAACACATACATGTGGCCTGTAGATTACATTCTGCTGTTTATCTTTGGTATTTGGCAGAACCCGATAGCTGCAGCCCTCCTTTACGATCCATCCGGGTTCTGACGGACTCAGGATCTTCTTCGTGACGGTGCAGACTTTGCTGTTGCCTCATTATAGTAACTGGAGGGCAGCAAGCCTTCGCTGCTCAGGTGTTATTTCCATTTTGTCAGGCCTGTCCTGGCAGGAAATAATGCATGAAGTCTGGGCCGGCTTTAATAAGATCCTCCCGCACCTCTGGACGCCGTGGACCCGCTCAGCAGCTGCCTCGCTCACAGAAATGACACTTTTTTTTTTTTTTCTTTTTTTACCGGAAATGTTGAAGGGCCACTTTCTCTTTTTTCATTTTTGGGATTTTTACGAACTCGAGGACACAGTGGGACTGGGAACTTTGTTGCCATGGAGATGCATTCCTCTTCCCCAAAACAAGAGGTCATATCCCACAGGGTGATGTCACCAAGACTCTGTTTCCCCTCCGGTGGCCCCTTCATGTGAGTCAGTGCTCGACCAGCAAGGCTGCTGGAAGCAAACAGAGGCTCGCTGAAGACGCTTCACGCTTTCAGAGCCGTCATTCTGCAGGTATCTGATCATAAAGGATCGGAGCTAAAGCTGCCATCTGACCACGAACTGATGAAAAGCTCCATTCAGAAAAATGCAAATATGAACCACATGCTGGCAAGACTGATCATCTGAGTGCCGTGAGTGTGAATGTTTGCAGATTCATCCCCTGAACGTTCAGATGTTTCACTGGCTGAACACTGACGGGGGACAAATTAAAGGAAAAACCAGCACACAGTGTCACCAGCACGTCTTTAATGCACCCTGCTACTGGTTTTTAGTCTCAGGAACATCCTTCCTCTGAGAGACATGTAGCGGTGGTGACGGACGGCGCCGTCTACCTCAACGGTCCGACGTCTGCCGTTTGGTTCTAGTGACTGTGAAGCCCACAACGTATGATTCATGTCATTTTCATGAGCTGCTCGGCGACCCGTCGTCCCCGGTGGACAGAGGCGTCCCCGGTAGACGGAGGCGTCCCCGGTAGACGGAGGCGTCCCCGGTGGACGGAGGCGTCCCCGGTGGACGGAGGCGTCCCGGAGGAGACTCCCATCAGGACAGAAATGTTCCGATACATGACGAAGCTGATGGCTCAGAACCACTTTGGCTGATCTGCAGTGACTCTTTTGCTCTACGGACCTGAATCATGTCAACAAAACGCCTCCAAAGGAACATATAGAGCCACCAGATTCCCTTCTGTGTCCTCAAATGACGTTCCACTAAAGTAAACTGTATCCTCCAATAGGTTTTGAAGGGAACACAATTTAGTCTGGGAATAAAGTTCATTTGTGACCTCTGATGTGGTAGAAAAGCGACCAGTCTGGAAGAAGTCAGGAGGCATAAACGGACGAGAGAGTCTCTGAATGTAGTTTGTTTTCTGTCGTCTGTTTTTGTTTTTTGCTTCTGTTTGGGCATTAAAACGCTGCGGCTGGTTTAGGAAGATATAATGCTTTGCTGGACACTGAAACACGTTGAAAGCCTGGTTCAGGTTCGTAGCATGTAGCTGCCCTCCTGATGCTGGATGTCACATAAGAAACCGTCTCATTAACAATGTGTAGGATCTAAAACTGTTTTTATCTTGGAATCAAGCAGCAGGGAAGCCTGGTCGAGCTGGAGCTCCATCCACCAACCTGAACTGCTTCACAGTGTTTTAATCCCTCAGTTCAACCTCCAGGCAGCTCTGATCAACCAGGACACATTTAAACGATGCAAAGTAAACGTTCTGCTCAGGTTGTATTTGAGGATGGAACCGACTTTAAAGAACTCGAGAAACAAACTGCTGAAGATGTGAGAACTGAACCAACACCTGCAGAACGTGCAGCCTGGATGGACACAGTGAGAAGACTCATGTTCCACTTAGGTGTTCAATTTTAGTTGTCTTTCAAGCTTGACCAACAAGCTAAAAAGCGCAACTTCAGCAGGTTTGATTCCAACTGACGGCCACGTGTCAAACAGCTGGAACATGTCAGCTGCCATGTTGAGGTTTAAATAGTTTGTGCGACATCCGGTTTGAATTCCACCTGCAACACTTCTTATTTCAGTCTAATTCCAGCTGACTTGCTTTTATTTATCAGTCATGTCTCACACTTTGAGCTTATTGCTTTTCTAATAGGCGCTGTGTTTATTTATATCTGCTTATGTAACTTGTTTCTGGGCAATATCACTACTTGTATAACCATACATCTTATATATAAATCTGACTTTGCCGTAGATGAGTTCTCATGTCAGTCTCACCTGCACGAACAAAAGAAAACCGTCACTGAAGGTAACTTTCCTTCATGCACACAAAGCGCTGTGTGTCAGGCTGGATTGTTTTGTGGCTTGTTGTCGCCTCACTTTACGCAATAAAGACAAAGATGCCGACAGGCTGAACCAACGCGCCCAAAAAAGACCGCCGCGCTGTCCATTACGTCTTCATCGGGAATGTGGCACATGAGCAAACGAATATACTGAACGTCTGGACGTCAAAAAATAGCTCAACAGGAGGAGACGGGAGCTGACGTGAAGGCCTTGTGTCACGAGCAGTGTGCGTTTGATGTCGGCAGGAACTGATTAAAACACAACGTCCACATGAGACGGAGGTTTTCTGGAAGCATCAACAACTTTGTCTGAAATTTGACTCAGAATCTTGTGGGACGACTGAATCGGGTTTATGGTTGATTAGTGAGCTGTAGATGAGAAACGTGAACTAGTCAGTTGTAGTTCTGGTGATTTGAGCCAAATTTTTCATGATCTGATCATCTTCTCACAAAAGCATGAAGCTCAGTCCAGCGGACAGTTTTGGGGCTGATCATTTTACATATGTTGCATTAAATCTCCTGAACCGAACATCCATCTACACACCGCTTAATCCTCACCAGGGTCATGGGGGGCGGAGCCTATCCCAGCTGACTCAGGGTGAAGGCAGGTTCACCTGGACAGGTAACCAGTCTATCACAGGGCTACACTTAGAGACAGACAACCAAGCACACTCACATTCACACCTACGAACAATTTACAATCACCAATTAACCTCAGCATGTTTGTGGACTGTGGGAGGAAGCCGGAGAACCCGGAGAGAACCCACGCTGCACGGGGAGAACATGGAGACTCCACGCAGAAAGATCCCGGGTGTCCTCACTGGGACAGGAACCGGCGACCTTCTAGCTGTGAGGCCACGGTGCTAACCACTGATCCACCTGCAGCGCTGAACCAAACATGATAATGAAAAAAAAAAAAAAGCGACTTATGTTTTGATGGTCAAGTATTACAACGATGCACCACAAGATCAACGGCTCAGGTAAACAGGTACCTGAGAATTCAGATTCACTATGAGAAGAAAACCAGAGCCTCAGCGGCTCCAGTCAGAGTTAGCATCATGTTAAATGTGACCCTCTTAGCTTCAAACAAACAGTCAGGATTGACTCTTTCAGTGATGTGCTGGATTGCTTTGTCCGTCGGTGCACTTTAAGGAGGCTGTTTTGCATTTGCCTCCAGCTGAGCTTCAAAGACGGATCAGTTGGCCTGTGGACCGCCATGTTCACTGATCACTTATCCAGCAGTCGCTCACTGGAAACAGCAAATTTGTTTTTACCTGAAGCGCTTGTCGCCATCGGGGTCGTCGCTGCACCTCTGAGATGCTGCCCTGGTGCGTCCTGAGTGGGACGATTTGCTAAATGTCGCTTCTGTTATTGGTGAAGAACTCAACGTAAACAGGATCATGTTGAGTCGGCTGCTGGTGAACGACAGAGAACTATGGAGCACCTCACCGTGGACAGAAGCTCCTCCTGCTAGGACATCCTATGGTGGAAAAACACCATGAGACAGCCAACAGTAACCAAAAGGGAACCTTCAGGGAACATTCTGTGATGGTTCGCTGAAGGTTATTTAGGAAAAAAATCCCCCAAGGCATTTTTGCAAAGGCTGCATTTATTTAAAAATGTTAACACAGCAACCTTCTGGAAACCTTCAAGTAATGTTCCCCAAAGATTCCCTCAATGTTTATTTTGTGAATCCCTTAGGTAACCTCCAGGGAACATGTCTTCAACGGTTAATCCAAAGGTTAAAACCCCATGTGACCTTTTTGCAATGGCTGCATTTATTTAAAAAACCCAGGAAACAGTAACTTGTCTAAAATAACCCCCAGGGAACCTACTGGGAACATTCCCTAAGAGTTCCCTGAGGGTTACTTTGTAAAACCTTCAGAGGCCTTTTAGGGAATGTTCCCTGATGGTTCTGTAAAGGTTCATTTACCCTGAGAGGTGTTTTGTGAGGCTGCATCTCTGAAAACGGTCAGCCAGCAGGAACTTCTGGAAACGTTCTGTGATGGTTCCCTCAAGGTTATTTTGGGAAATCTTAAGGAACCTTCAGGGAATGTTCCCTGACGTTTCCCCAATGGTTATTTTATTAAACCCCACAAAATACTTTTGCTGTTGCTGCACTTGTGAAACTGTTCACCCAGCAAACGGTAACCCTCAGGGAACCTTCAGGGAACGTTTCCTAAAGGATCCCTTATGGGTATTTTCTGATCTTCAGAGAACGTCCACAGAACGTTCCATGAAGTTTATTTTAGGAAAACCCACACAGAGCGATGGCTGCATGTCTGAAGACGTTCACCCAGCAGACGGTAACCTTTAGGGAACATTACCTGAATGAAACCTTGTCTAACGGTTCCTTTAGGGTTATTTTGTGAAACTGTCAAAGAACCTTTCGGTACCCCTCTGAGAACATTCCCTAAACCTTTCGTCAAAAGTTTCCAAAATAATGATTAGGGAACATTTGCCAAAGAAATGCAGCGAACATTAGTGGAACGTTCCCCGAAGGTTCCCCAAGTGTTCTGGGCCTCAGGTCCGATAAGTTCATCAGTGTCCAGGCTGTGAGGAACACCTTCATGCTCACACCTGCTCTGGAGCTTCTGGAGCTTCTGTTCCGTTTTATTCCAAAGCGATGCAGCGGAACCGGGAGTCTGGACCTCTGTGCTGTCTGGAGAACACACGGAGCGACTTTAATCTGGTTCTGTTTCCTGTTAAAATGTTGTGGAAGGACTGAAACAGCGAACTGAAGTCCTGATAAAGTCAGCGCGCTCCGTCCCTGCTCACCGCTCCGCCGCTCTGCGTGTGTGTGTGTGTGTGTGTGTGTGTGTGTGTGTGCGTGTGTGCGTGTGTGTGTGTGTTGTGGGCCAATAGTCACTCAGTTACACAACCGCTTTCAGTTTCCGAGCCCTGCCTGCTGCCTGGTGGCTCCCCGCCCACCGCTGCTCTCTGCTGCCTGCCGCCTGCCTGCCTGCCTGGCTGCTGGGCGGACTGGGGCAGATCCGAGCCGACCAGTTCCGTGTTCTCTGCTCCCCAGTAGCGGAGCGGACTGACCGGGAGGAACCAGGCGGCGTCATGGTGGACCTTCGTGGCCGGCCGCGGCGTCCATAACTCCGGGGGCGTGCGTGCTGAAGTGTGGCCGAGGTGAGGATCTTATTTCTCATTATTTCTGCGCTGATGGCGAATCCATCCGCCGACGTCGCGCGTTACGTTCCAGCCAAACTTTGACGCTGCTGCTGCTGCTGGACCTCCTCTCCCCCTCCCTCCCCCTCTCTCGCTCTCTCCCCAAACGCAAAGTGCGTTGCCGCGCACACGCACATGCGGGGTCGCGGGACGTGCACGCGGGCTGCCGGCTGTGCTCGTTTAAAGGCCGAGACGCGGAGCTGTGCAACTTTTGCCGTCGATACGTGCGCGCGTGCGTGCGTCCGACGGTGTATAGTAGCGAACTGCGCCACGCGCGCGTATGTGTTCATGCGGGTGCGCGTCGGTGTGGCGCGCGTGTCGTCGTCCATTGATGTTGTTTTGACACAGGTGACGTAGACCGTGACGCGCCGTAACGATGAGATAAGCAGATCCGCTCCGCGTGAAGGAATAAGCGCGTGCGTGCGCGCGCGCCCGCCCGTCTCATTGACGGACACTGGGGGATTTCTGAGCTGCGCACTTGAGATTTTTCTAGCAACAAACAGCAGCAGCGCGCTGACGGAGGCTCGCTGCTTCCTGTGTGCAGCTGGTTCCTGAATCCAGCGGCGTGCACACACCTGACGCACGCCACTGCGCGTCCACGTGCAGTTTAGGCCATGTGTCGTAGTTTGAATTGAAGGAGGAATAAAGTGCAGCAGTGATGAAAAGTTGCAGGAACAACCTCTGATGGTTGTGTGTGCAGTCAGAGTGTGAAGCAGGAAGCTGCAGCAGGTGAGAAGGTTACAGGTGCGTCCACACCTCAGACACGTTGTTCTGCTCAACATGAGCTCATCAACTCCTGTCTGTGGATTCAGAAACACACGTGTAGGAATGTTTAAAGGGAGGTCCAACAGAGTCAGTCAGGGGGGGATGACTGTTTAAATCCTGACTGTCAGCTGGACTCAGTCATTCTGCAGGTAGGAAGCTGCTCTGTGTGTGTGTGTGTGTGTGTGTGTGTGTGTGTGTGTGTGTGTGTGTGTGTCCAGCGCTGTGCACACACCTGGCGCGCACACACATGCAGCTGTATTGCATCCATAACATAAAACTGACGGAAATTAAACAAGAATAAAATGCAGCAGTGATGAAAAGTTGCAGGAAGAACCTCTATTCTTAGAATGTTTCAGTCTGTAGTTCGGTAGAGAGTGAAGCACAAACCTGCAGCAGGTGGAACGGTACCGGTACCAACAGGGAAGACATCCACAGAAGCTTTTTATAGTTAATGATGAGCTGATCAACACACACGTGTGAATTCTTCAGCACAAATATGTGCAAATTAGATTCAAAAAGATAAATTATAATAATAACGGTGATGTCTGTTAGATGGTGTTTTCATTGACCTGCTGCAGCATCAGACCAGGTTAGAGTCAGTGACCTGCTCTGCATGTGTCCAGCCCAAAAACACTGCACACGCTCAATATTCATCCTTGTGCTGCCATATTTCAGATTTCTAGAGTTTTTGTTCGTCACATGCTCACACAGTGAAATGTGCTGCACACGGCTGTGCAACAACAACAACAACAACAACAACAACAACAACAACAGGATTCAACCTGATGGAAGCTGCACAAGAAAAACGTCGTCTGTGGTGAAAAACCTGCAGCTCAGACCTACAGCAGGTTAGAAAACAACAGGTACAAGAAGCATTTATATTTATTGATTTAGCTTTTTGTGAATTAGAGCTAATGAGTGCTCACCTAAATCTGTTTGAAAATGATTAAAACTAATTAATAATCAGCTCCACTGTCAGTCCAGTGACTGACTTTATTACAGAACTCAGAGCTGCTGAGCAACTTCTGTCTGTGGAAATCAGGTTTTGGCTTTTAGCAGAAAAATAAAAGCTTTTAATAGACATCAAGTTGGTGGAAAGTTTCTCCACAAGGTTGAGAAACGAGTGCATCCAAGTACTTTAAACGAATTGTGAGTAAATGAAGTTTGGTGTCTGTACGGAGAACTGGAAGATCTGGTGAAAACAAATAATTGACAGATAGACATGTGCAGTATAATTTAATTAAAGTCCAACAGTCACCGTGTAATTGACTTAGAAACAAGTGATCCAGCAAAACCACCGTCTCCAGCAGCCTGACTGTCACACATGAGGACAGCATGGCATCGTAGCACCTCCAGGTCAGGCATGCTGCACAACTTACATCCTGAACTCATCGATTAGCTGTTTTCTGTGAACCAGCCAGAGGAGGAAAGTTTCGCAACAGTTCATTTTAACATATTAACATAAACTCATGAAGCAGGTTGGTGTTGTACAAAAAAGGTTTTGTTTGGAAAGTTTATACAGAGATCAGAAATATGGACGTCAGTAAAAAACAAAAACCTTAAATTAAACAACAAAGTAATGATGTGTTGTGTTGTAGTCGATCATTAGCGCTTCACACGTAGGTCACGTTGAACTTGGATCTAAAGTGGGAAAGGTAGCCAGAGTGAATCGGTTTCTAATTGAGATTTGAGTGATGTATGTAAAGTTTTGGAGTCTGATGCTGGTTTCATGACCTTAACAAATGATGTGGGACGTTAAGCATGTCTGACAGACGAGTCAGGATGAATCCATCCGAGCCTCGTAAACACAATGTTAGAATTAATCCTCTAATGAACAGACATGAAGGATGCCAGGACGAGTTTAGCAGTCAGAGCAATGAGCTGCAGTCTGGTTCAAAGGCCTCCATCATGCCAACACCAATATAAGTTCACAATAAAATCTTATAACAGTCTTCAACATTTGACATAACTATAAATAAAACTGTAGTATTTTGATATTTTTGCAATTCTCGATTTTTGCTTTTCATCGAGAACGTTTCAT